CGAATGAGCCAGCTGTGGATGTGGCTGTGGACCTGGAGTCATCAGACCCATCCACTGTGTCAATTGTTTACAGAGCTCCTGCCAACCATGGCAACACACCCACGCCACGAATGAGCCAGCTGTGGATGTGGCTGTGGACCTGGAGTCATCAGACCCATCCACTGTGTCAGTTGTTTACAGAGCTCCTGACAACCACAGTGACACACCCACGCCATGAATGAGCCGGCTGTGGTCGTGACTGTGGACCTGGAGTCATCAGACCCATCCACTGTGTCAGTTGTTTACAGAGCTTCTGCCAACCACGGCAACACACCCAAACCACGAATGAGCCGGCTGTGGACGTGGCTGTGGACCCAGAATTATCAGACCCATCCACTGTGTCAGTTGTTTTCCAAACAACCAGCAGCCAGAGGGTTGGAACCCACTGCTCCCAGTTCATGCAGCAGCAATTTACTTAATCCTCTGAGAATTTGTTTGTTTCAAAGGAGATGACCGTCTACTTTACCAGAGATCATCAGAGAGGGAAGGCAAATGTTTGAATGACTGATGACATTTCCAGCCAGAAAGCAAAATGACATTGAAAATAAGTTAAAATGTGTCCAAAAAGAGTACATCAAGCCTATTCCATTCAGCCAAACTGCAGACAAAGCAAGTGTGGGTGGAAAGAGGCTGTTTTATTATTCAGGTCAAAGCCACCAAAAAGAGCTAGAAATATTCCTAAGCCTAAGTCCTAAGTAGTGATGACTAAGTTTCAAATAATTTAAAAAATGCTACCAACAACCATGGCAGACATGGCAAGCATTAGCAAAAGCCATTCTAACATTCTCCATCTGCTTAAGCAAGTCGACTTTTTTTTATCAAAAAAGAAAATACAAGGTACAGTGCACTTCATAGAACACACTATTTGTACAACTTCTATGTGTGTCTGAACTCCCAATTTTTTGGCTTATCTATTTAGTTAACCTCTGCTATTTTCTGGGATACATTCCAAGACAACTAAACACAGTATTAAAATTTGCATCTCTGTTACTAAGCTTAATTTCAGAGAGGTTCTAAAGTGCTCTGAAACCATTTTTTTACTTTCTGCACACAACTTTATGCTAAAAAGTAACAGACACTGTTCGATAGTAATAATTGATAAGATAAGCACAATTTCTGTTTTCCTCCAAAACAACTTTTTTCCCTCTAACTGTACTGTCCTGGAAGAAATCAAGAGTTATCCTCAAAGGGCAGCACCTGTGGCTCAAAGGAATAGAGCGCCAACCCCATATACCAAAGGTAGTGGGTTCAAACCTGGTCCCCGCCAAAAACTGCAAAAAAAAAAAAAAAAGTGATGCTCAAGCCACGTGTTTTTGCTGCAGTGTTACAAATGTGGGCTTAAAGTCTCTTTAAGGTACTATGAGAGGTGATCTAAATATTCACCTATAAACTGTATGTTTCAGAGCTCTTTATAAATATTTTTCTGAACAACTTTTGGTTGGAAAATCCTGAAAGCATAAATCATAAATGCATATAACCCAAATGCCAAGAGCAATATAGATTTCTTTTTTGTTTGTTTGTTTGTAACAGGTTAAAGAATTAAAGAACTATACTTTTTGATCTGGGATACACCTTAAATACTATTAAAAAGCCCTTGAAATTATCTTAATCCAACCCTCCAATTTGAAAAATGAGGAAACCGAGACCCACAGAGGTTCTGCGAACCCCAGTGTCACAGATGATAAATGGGGAATGGTACCAACGTCTGGATTTTGTGATTCCGAGTCCAAAGCTCTGGAAGGACTTGTTTCCATACACTTTAATATGGGACGGTGTTACCAGAAGACACTCCAGGCGACCCCGCGGTACGAGGGCTCCGAGGGCTCCGAGGGCTCCGTCGGGCTTACGAGCCAGCTTTGCCTTCCGTTTCAAACACCAGTTCTAGAAATAGCGCCCGCAGGAGCTAATTTCTTAGATGACATCATACCTGGGGTTCCAGAAGGATTCCTGGGTCGGCTCTCTACTCACCACTACAAATGCCCTCACGTGCACGCTTGGCCCTGGACTGGATTTGGCCATGGCTGTTTTTAATTTGCTTGCAGGGAGAGGGAGAGGTTGGAATACAGAAGCTAAGCTAATTTTTCTCCTTGGAAATTCAAACCAACAAATCCGTCCTAGGGGCCCCAGGGCTCACAGGTTTAGTCCCTCTTTGTCCAAAGTAGGAAGGAGACCCAGAAGGAAGTTGGGCGGGTGGCGGGTCTTGTCCGAAGCCCCCCGCAGGTGCGCGCCCAGGCTCAGCTGCCGTCTCAGCGTGGCACCCTGATCTTTGTCACCCCGAGACTCCAGGAGTGGCCGGGGTCCCGTCCACCCTTCCCTCAGCCCGCCAGCCCTGGCCCCCTCGGACGACCTGCTAGACTGTCCCATACTCCCTGTCTCCAAGTGGCCCGCAGGCTCCGAGTCCCCCACGCGCGTACTAACGCCCAGATCTCAAGTTACCCGCAGCGGAAAGAGGTGGCGGTGAGGGGTGGAGGAGAGAGAAGAGCGCTTTACCGCGATCCAGGACAGAGGCTGGGGTCACCGGCGCCTGCGTCGCTCGCCCTCGGCCGGCTGCTGGCTCTGCAGTCTCTGCCGAAGGTGCAGGGGACCGTCTCTGGGAGGGCGGCTGGGGAGGCGCGCGGGGGAGAAGGGCGGCAGGGCAGGTGGCCGCCCCGGGCAGGAGGAGCGGACCCCGCGGGGCAAGGGCGGCCGCGCAGGTGCCCCGGGGCGGCGGCGGGCAATGCCACTACGCGTGGCCGCGTGCCTGGGAGAGGAGAGAGCCGGGGAGCAGGAGGCAGGACCCCCGCCCGCTGCAAGGCCGAGAGCCCGGTGAATCCCGCGGGAACCAGGCGCCCGCTCCGCTCGCAGCCAGCTGCAGCGCCCACTGAAGCTGGTGGCCGTCACGCTCCTCCCTCCCACCCCGACGTCCAAGCCTCTGCTGCAGCAAGTGAGGAGACACCACAATAAACGAAGGTTGCAGTACTGGGGGGAGTGGGAAAGGAGAGAGATGAGAAAGAACAAGAGCGAGGTAGTGGGTTTCCGGTCCCTGCAGATGCCAGCACGCCCGCGTCTCCGCCACGCCTGTCAGGAAGCACGCGAGGCGTTCACCGTCTAGTTGGGGGCACGGAACCACCACTTCCCATTCAGTCCTGAGGTTCAGGGGCGGTTGATGTGGCAAGTAAAAAAAATAAATAAATAAAAATGTGTCCTTCAACAGCCTGATTCCAACCGCAAAGGGACAGACGTTTTCGGCTCTCCACTCAAAAGTTCATTCATTTGTTTATTTGATGTATTTTTACTGCAGACACACTGTGCGCCAGACAGTGCTGCTTGTTCCCTGCTCTAAGAGTAGGGGGTAGGAAGGCAGGAAGGAAGGATCCGCGCCCATTGCCAGCGGTGCCCAGCGAGGCGGAGGAGACAGACACCGGCAAGGCGGGGACTCGGGGGAGGGGACACGCTCCAGATGGGGTGGATAGCTAATTTTTAAAGGCCTGTAAAAATTAAGCCTCTATTGGCCTGATTAACACCCTTATAGGAAGAACCACCAGAAGTCCTGGAGAGAGTGAAATGGAGAAACAGCCCGGAGAAGGGCAGAGCCAGAAGCAAGGTGCCCCCGCAGGCGGCCTCCCTCAGGTCCAGAGGAAACGGCCCTGACTTTATAGACTGAGCGTCTGCTCTGCGCATAGTCCTCCCAGAGCAGGGACGCTTTCAGGGCAAATTGGATCTCCAGACCACGTGCCGAAGCACCTTACTCAGAAACCTCATGTTTGTACTCCAGATGGACTTTCTGGGCATCTGTGGTCGGCAAAAATAAACCAGAAACTTGGCCTGGCGCCCGTAGCTCAGTGGTTAGGGCACTGGTCACATACACGGGAGCTGGAGGGTTCAAACCCGGCCCAGGCCTACCAAAAAAAATGACAACTACAACCAAAAAATAACAGGGCGTTGTGGCTGGTCCCTATAGTCCCAGCTACTTGGGAGGCTGAGGCAAGAGAATCGCTTAAGCCCAAGAGTTTGAGGTTGCTGTGAACTGCAACAGCACAGCACTCTACCCAGGCTGACATAGTGAAACTCTATCTCGACAACAACAACAAAAATAAATAAATAAACAAATAAAACAGAAACACTAACCTTTGTGTTTTCAATAAACTTCAAACAACGGATGTTTCCATTGGATGGAGACAGAATTAGGGTAGAAATTCTGGCTTCTCCAGATTTATTATGAAATAAGACGAGAACTCTTAATTACACATTTGGTGCAAACCGGCACATTATTCTTCAAGGACTGCTGTGAAGTGCTCCACAAACTCCATGCTCAAAACAGATTCATTCTCTCGTTATTGCAAAGACCAAAAGTATAAAATCAGGATGGCAGCAGGTCGCCCTTCCTCCAAGGCTCCAGGAGAAAATCCCTCCTTGTGCCTTCCAGCCTTGATGACTCGGGGAACCCCTGGCCTGTGGCTCTGTAACTCCAGGCGTGGCCTCATCTCTACCTGCCCTTCTCTCTGTGTGTCTTTTTCTCTTCCATTTGGAGGGATTTAGGAACCACGCAGCTATTCCAGGGTGCTCTCATCTTGAGATCCTTAATTTAAAATTACATGTGCAAAGATCTATTTTCCAAATAAGATCACATGCACAGGTTTCCCAGATTAGACATTTGGGTGAGAGAAGTCCCTCTTTAACTCATCCCAATTAATAAACTAATAGACACAAAAATCATTGTTCATTTGTGGTATCAGAGTGTTATTCAGCATCATTATTCCAAGTTGTATTGACACTGAGTGTAATTATTTCATTATGAACTAAAAATGAGTGTCGCTAAACCCAAGCCTTATAAGGAAGAACTTCCCTATGAAAAAGAAATATAGGAAGGGCAATGGTGCACGCCTGTAATCCCAGCACGTTGGGAGGTCAAGAAAGGAGGATCAGTGGAACCCAGGAAATTGAGACCAGCCCAGCAACATAGCAAGACCCCATCTCTAAGAAAAAAATTAAATTATACAGGCATGGTGGTGCCCTCCTATAGTCCTAGCTACTTGAGAGGATAAGGTAGGACAATCACTTGAGCCCCAAAATTCAAGGCTACAGTGAGAAGGGAGGAAGGAAGGAAGGGAGGGGAAGAGGAAGAGGAAAAGGAAAGAGAGGAAAGGAAACAGTCTGAGCCCACAACTGATGTTTGGGACCCAGACAGTACTTGAGGCTGACCGTGGCCCTTCATAAGCTCCAATTGTTAAGAGAAACACCTGCTACGTACATGTGGATGGATTTCTAATAATATACCAACACTGAATGTCTGACACACGCCAGGCTCTGAGTCAGGAGCTCCTTACTGAGCTTATGTTCAAACCTAGGAGATATCTTTTAATTTCATTCTCTGGTACAATGCTTGGTGCATATCTGAGGCCTGATAAAAGCTGTGAATGAATAAATGAGAAGAAGTAAATCACCACCAATCAGCTAGGCAACTATTACCACCCTGAAAGACATTTCTATAATAAGAAGACAGAATTTACTGGAGCAAAACAGATTAACACTCTGACTCATTCAGAATTTTGTTGAGTGAATAAAAAAGTCCCTAAAAGGAAATCTTCAATGTGCAAAAGAAATTAATGAGATTATCTATCTTCTCTTTTGGAAAAAAATCAATAATATACCTCTTTACACAGATATGGATCCTGCCGAGAGCAATCGATCATGACTGAAGTTATACTTCCTTAAAGTGAGTGAAATATCTCATGCTACTTTCAAAAACATTAAACCAAGCATGGTAGCTCAGTCAGTAATCCAAGTACTTTGGGAGGCCACGGTGGGTGGATTGTTTAAGCTCAGGAGTTCAAGACCAGCCCAGGCAAAAGTGAGACCCTGTCTCTACTAAAATAGAAAAACTAGCAGGGTGTCATAACAGGCACCTGTAGTCCCAGCTACTCAGGGGGCTGAGATAAGAGAATCACTTAAGCCCAGGAGCTTAAGACTGCTGTGAGCTGTGACACCACAGCATTCTACCATGGGCAACAGAGACTCTGTTTCAAAAAAAAAAAATAAAAACATAAACATAAAGATTGCTCAATATTAAGTTGCTAATAATGATACATCACTTTGAAACTACAAATGATGATTTCAGTGACTCCACTCTTCTCGGCTTACCTCTTTCCTCTCTGACTTTCCTTCTCACTCCCCCACTCTTACAGTTTCAGACAATCAACTGACATGTAAGTGGACACCAGACTGAGCCTCACTCATTGTTCAAAGTCCAGCCTGAACCAGGCACGTGACTGGTCAGTTGGGATATGATGACTGGTAGGTATGAATCATCTGTCCACTCCTGGAAAACAAGGAATGGAATGAGGGTTGGATAGGGTTTGACACTAACCAAATACCTCTGTGGGGGGGGGAGTTGTACCCCAAAATAAAATTAGGGTGCTTTCACAGAATGGGTTATAGACAAATAAAGCACATCTATTCACTAAAATGGACATTCAGAAATGTATGTGGATGAACTGATGGCAGCTTTAAGTGAAACAGCACCTCACCTGCTCCATGGTGCCAGACAAGGTCTCACAATTAAGTTCACAAACTCATCCTAGAAAAAGGGCTACATTCCCCATTGTTGAATATCACTAAGGTCACCACATGGCCAGGGAGTGCTTTGAAGGTGTACTACTCAGCCTTAAGAAGGATGCAGCAACTTGGATGGAACTGGAGACCGTTATCCTGAGTGCAATACCTCAGGAATGGAAAAACAAATACCTCGTGTGCTCTCTAGTAATCAGGAGCTAATCTGTGAGCATCTGTGGGCGCACAGAGATGTCCAGGGCCATTGGAAATCGGGGGGGGGGGTGGGAGGGGGAGGAGTCACACCTACCTGTCTGTGCAGGGAGCACCTCTCAGTGACCACACACTACAAGCTCTGACCTAGCTTTGCAAAAGGTAGCCACATAACAGAGATATTTGTACCCCCTTAATATTTTGAAATTTAAAAAATTCGGAGTATTCTCTGAATTACACAAAAGGCTCTTTGAAGAGATTAAACAAGTGCCTCATAGATACCCTCAGGCATCTCAGGAGAGTTCCCAGACACAGAAGAGATTATCCAGGGAAAATCTCCAGGCAAGTCTCATTTCTGCTGGAATGAATTTCTCTAATAAACACAGGAAATTTACAAGGTTCTTGAAAATTTTATACTAGTAGAAACACTGCCACTTTGAAATTTAAAGGGACAGAATACAAATAAAAGAACTCTGTTACACCCCCAAATTCTATAGGTGGAAAACAGTCAGATAAAACTGACCCATGAACACAGATCCACTGCAACAGACATAAGTCCCGATGCCACCAAAGAACTGGGGAATAGAGACCCCCCAGTGAGAAACCAGAAGTCTGCCTTCTAATAGGCATAACAAATGAAATGAGAGGAAATTAGTTTAAGGAGAAAAGCAAGAATTACAGTTTGCTTCAAACGTTGGAAACCTGGTGTGAAGAAGCCGTAGTGGACAGTTCTGGCAACTAAACCAGAACCAGGGAGGAGGAGCAGAGAGAGCAAGGGTTAAACGGAATCTAAAGAGGAACCGTCAAGTCCTCACAACCATTAGACGTGGCCACCAGGTGCGATGAGTGCTCTTCATCACAGACAGTTTTAGACAGAGACTGTGATCGGCCTTCAGGAATCCTGTAGGACTGAATGGGATGGGAAAGGGGTTAGGCTAGAATGATGATGGTTAAGCCCAGCATTACATCAAAGCCTCTGTTATTGGAGGCTTCAGAGCATTTATAGGAAGAAGATTCGGGGTATGATGATGAGTTGTGGTAAAATACTGCTCACCATCACACCCAGAACATGAGCAGTTTTTCCTACAAAGGCAGTGACTGCTTTTCTCACTTCACCACGTTTGTTCTCCACTGAGGAGGAGGGTAGAATACAGAGGTAGAGACAGCTACTCTTCCAGATGTGGGGGTAAATCAGCAACTCTAAAACAGGAAAGTTGACTGATGTCAATTATTGTTTAAACATATATGCACAGCCCATTCACTGTACCCAGCTCAGTTAAGCAAAGAACCCCTGTGGAACTGGGGAGATGTGCCTCTGTGAGCATGCTTCTGCCCTGCTGGGGCGTTCAGATCCAGCAAGCAGCGTTCAGATCCAGCGAGTGTAGACTCCCTTGGGACTGCAGCACGAGTGCCCTGCAGGAACACCCGTATCTACAGCTAGAGGGACATTTACCAAAGTGTTTCTTCGACATTGACCAACTTTGTATTCTCTACCCCATCAAGAGGTCTGAAGCAGACTGGGAGAGGTGAAAGGACATGACTATTAGCATTTAAAAAGTATGATATGCTCAGCGCCCATACGTCAGTGAGTAGGGTGCCAACCACATACACGGAGGCTGGTGGGTTCAAGCCCGGCCCGGGCCTGCTATACAATAATAAAACTGCAACCAAAAAATAGCTGGGTGTTGTGGCGGGCACCTTTAGTCCCACCTACTAGGGAGGCTGAGGCAAGAGAATAAGCCCAAGAGTTTGATGTTGCTGTGAGCTGTGATGCCAAAGCACTCTACTGAGGGTGACATAGTGAGACTCTGTCTCAAAAATAAATAAATAAATAAATTGATTAAATTAAAAGTATAAGAGATTACCCAGACGTTAAAATTTCATAACTGTGATTCAAGATAACTTGGCTATTATTACTCTAACAACACTATCAGTCTTCGTCTTCCCTTTGTGATTTTGTATTGCTACAATGGCTCTGATTTATTCTTGCCTTTAGAAGGCAACAGTTGGGCAGAGTGGTGAAGCT